GCCCATGGCAGCTCATTATCCAAGTGGGTTTCCTAGTAAGGGGAACAGTGGCTGTTTCTGACATGAATTCAATGGCTGGCTTTTTGATCACCTCCCCCTGAGGGGCAGGATGGGGGCGAGGTAGCCTTACCAGGCTACAGAGGAAGACAATGCAGCCAGTCCTGATGAGACCTGATAGGCTAGGGACAGAGGGAAGGGGAGAAGGACCTCCCCAATGAGTGGACTGGGGGAGAGGCATGGGAGGAGATGAGGGAGGGAGGGAGAGTGGGCTTGGGAGGGAGCTACAGCTGGGATATAAAGTGAATAAATTGTAATAAATTAAAAAAAGAAAACTTTAAAAATCTTTTAAAAAGTTTATTTTGTGTGTGTTCAAGCATCCATGTGCAAGCCCGATGACAATTTGCTGGAGTTGTTCTTCCACATATGGGTTTGAGGGCTCACACTCAGATCAGGCCTCGAAGCAAGTGCCTTTACCCACTGAGTATATCAAAGGCCCCATACCTCTTATTTTCCAAAAGCTACAAAGGAAATGGTATGTTTAGCAGTCAAGGGTGATCATGAAAGGCTCTTTGTCCTATAGGAAAGCCAGGTCATACAGAACATTTGTTACTGTTCTGGCTGAGGACAAACACCTACAGAAACAGCTTCAGGAAGGAAGACAGTACATTATGGCAGGGAAGGCCCAGTGGCAGGAGCAGGTGTTGTGTCTCATGACATCATCCACAGTCAGGAAGTACGGAGTAATGAATGCTGGTGCCGAGCTAGCTTTCTCTTCTCTGTGCAGTGCAGGACCCCAGTCTGTGGATAGCCAATGTTGCCCTCCCTCAGGGTGGGTCCTCTCACCTCAGTTTAACTTACACAGAAACTCCATCATGGACACACCCAGAGACGTGTTTCCACGGTGATTCTTCGTGCTGTCAAGATTTACCCTCACAGGCGGCCGCCATCAAACTGGCAACTGGTGTCTCTTTGGTAGATGACTGCTGTTGAGGCATTGGGCAGAGCCTTCAGCACTGATGCTTTATCGGTGTGAGGGCTGGGTGGAGGGAAGTGTGAAACAGGTGTGATCGTTCTGGATCTCGGGATGCACACTGGCTGTGGTGCCTGTGAGATCAGCCCACCCTGGGAATGTTCAGTAAACCACACACAGCCCCCCATTATGTTCATTTGTTTGCTTGTGTAGTGTGTGTGTCCTTCTGCTTTTTTGGCCATGCATATCACATCGTGCGTGATGGTGGTCAGAAGGCAGCTTGCAGGTGTTGCTTATTTCCTACCACGTAGACCCAGGGGATCAGACTCAGGCTTGGTGGCGTGCGCTTTTTACCTACTGAGCCATCTTGGTAGTGAGGGTGGAGGGATTCATTATAAAATGTAACACCTCTCTTCCTTGCTTGCCTGGTAATATATTTTCATGATAGAAACATTGAGAAGTTAAGGGGAGAAAAAAATCACAGGCTCAGAGCCGTGTTTGGCTATGTAGTTTGTCAGTCTATGTACATGTTTACACTGGTAATTGTTCTCACCGAGACAAAACTGACCATATATTTTCTTTTCCTTAGTGTAATTTTGCTCAAGGGGTTTCTGTTTGGTTCCTTACTTGATTTGGAGAGGATCTCATGCCTCTGAGGCTGGCCTCAAACTCCCTATGTAGCCAAGGCTGGCTCTGAACTCCGGATCTCTTGCCTTTGCCTTCCAAGTGATGGGATCACCACTCCTGCCTCTGCCAAGCCCTTGGTGTATGCCATGGGAAGAACTCACAGGACTTAGCACGTCTTCACAGAATGCTCGCAGGTAGTTCCTGTGTGTGAGCATGTGGTGCTGGACGTGGGGACGTGCTGCAGTTCGCCACAGCATCAAAGCTCACCCTTTACCAACCCAAGTTCGATGTTATATGCTACAATAAAGATCTTGTGCTAGGCAGTGGTGGTGCATGTCTTTAATCCCAGCACTCGGGAGGCAGAGGTATGTGGATCTCTCAGAGTTCAAGGCCAGCCTGGTCCACAGAGTGAGTACTAGGTCAGTCAAGCCTACACAGAAAAACCCTGTCCCCAAAACACCCCTGCCTCCCAAAAAAAGATTTTGTATCGAATATAATCTATACCACACTGTCCATGTAATTTCCAAGTATACAAGCCATAATGAAAAACAAAGGAGAAATTAGTGAGAAGTCATTTTTTTATAATGGCATAATAGGCTTGGAAGCATAGAAATGCTTGCTTAATAATAAAATAGATGTAGGCCAGCAGGATAGCTCAGTGGATATAGGTGCTTGCTAGCCAAGCTTGATAGCCTGAATTTCATGCTGAAGATGTACATGGTGGAATCATGTGGGTCGCTGGAGAACCAATTCCTTCACCTCCACAAGCACAGTAGCTTTGCACCCTTCCACATAAACAAAATTAATAAATGTAAATTTTTAAAAAACGTTTTGATCAGTGGTTTCTCAACATGTAGGTAGTGACCCATTTGAGGGTAGAATGACCCTGTCACAGGGGTCACCTAAGACCATCAGAAAACATGGATATTTGCAGTACAATTAATAATAGTAGCAAAGTTACAGTTATGAAGTAGCAATGAAAATAACTTTATGGTCAGGAGCTACCACAACATGAGGAACTGTATTAAAGGGTTGTAGCATCAGAAAGGTTGAGAACCACTAGGTTAGATGATTATATAACTATGGACTGTGACAAATGCAATCTTTTCTTTTTTGTGTGTGGGTCTGTTTGTTTTGGATTACTCTTGCTTGGATTTAGTTTCTCTGTGTGGCACTGGATGGCCTCAAACTCATTTTCAGCCAGGTTATCTCTACATAGCTATGACTGTTCCAAAACTCACTCTGTAGACCAGGCTGGCCTGGAACTCACAGAGATAAGCCTGCCTCTGCCTCCTGAGTGCTATGATTAAAGATGTGTACCACCATCTCCATGAAGGCTCCAAACCCTTAACCATCATTCTGTATTAGTTCCTTTTCATCTCTGTGACAAAATACCCAGGTGGAAGCAACCTGAGAAAGGAAAGGTTGATTTTGGCTCATGGTTCAACGATACAGTCCGTCAAGGTGGGGGGCATGGGAGGAGCGTGAGGCAGCTGCTCGAGTTGCACCGGCAGAGAACAGCAGAGAGATGGACGCCAGTGCTCAGCCCACTTCTCCCCGTTATCCAGCCTGCAGTCTCAGCCTATTGGACAGCTCTGGCGGATCCTTTTTAACCTAATCTAGATGGTGGATTCTTTTTAACCTAACCTACAAAGACCCTTCACAGCCATGCCAAGAGGCTTGTTTGCACAGTGGTTCTAAATCCTGTGGTCTTCGTGATTAAGGTTAACCATCACCAATACCATGATTCGCCTTCCTGTTGTTATTATTATCTGCTCCAAGTACCGAGCAGCTTCTGGTGAAGTTCTAAGTTTAAAATTCAAAGATCAAGAATAGTGATACCTACCAGTAATTGGAGCACTTAGGGGCCTGAGGCAGGGGGATGGCTGAGTTTGAGGCCGGTAAGGGCTACAAAGAAATATGGTATTAAAAACAAACAACCTTGTAAAACTCAGTGTACCTCAAAAATGGCGGAGGGTAGGAGAGCATGACAAAACACAGTGATTCCATTTCCAGAAATTCTGTGTGAAGTAAAACCATGCAAACCAGATTCTGGGTCTTAGAGCCAAATGATATCCAGTGGGATTTAGAAAGCTAACTGGAGCAGTACCCAGCCTTGTTCCTCTCCTCTTTGTAAATCTGATAGATTGAGACACCAACAGTGGGACCCAAAGATGGTGGCTCAGTGGCTAAGAGTCTGAACCACTACTCTTGCAGAGGACCAGAGCTCAGCTCCCGAGTATCCATGTCTGGAGGCTCACAACAGCTTGTCAGTCCAGCTCCAGGAGGCTTGACAGCCCTCTTCTGGCTGCAGGCAGTTGTGTTCACACAGGCACACATACATACACATAAATAAAAAATTAAATTAATTTTTAAAAGAGCCAACAGTGCTCTTCTAGAAGAGTGGCATTCTCTGCTGTGAACTTCTTCTCTCTTTCTCCCTCCTCCTCCCTAACTTTGCTTATTTGTAGTTTCTGCATAATGAGCACTCTGTAAAAATTTAGAATACGTCACTGAAAATTTACAGGCCCTATAATTTTTTCTAACAAGAAAATTTCCAAGTATTATGATACTCATTATTGCAAAAGGGATCCTTATTTTTATTTTTATTTTTTGTCATTTGGAGCTCTTGGTGTCTGCTTGGGATAGGCCTTGGGGCCTTGTACGTGCAAGGCAATCGCTCTTTCATGGAGTCATGGCCTTAGTGTAGCTATCCTGAAAGAACAGGCTTTGGATCCATGACATAGTTAAAGCCACAAACCGTAGTTATCAAATGGTCCAATGGCTAGAGCAAGCCACTCCTTCCCCCTCCATCCTCATGTTTTGTTGTTTGGTTTGTTGAGGTTCCAGTAGGGGTGGGACTTTATGCACACTAGGCTACACCCTCAGCCCTTCAATAGGGGATCCTAGACAGGTGCTCTATATTGAACCAGACCCCTGGCCCCTAGCTGGGATGTGGGGTGGCATTCTAGACAAGAGCTGTACCCCTGAGTCACTTCCTTAGCTTCTCACTGGAGACAGTGTTAGTACTGATTCCTTCTCCACACATACGCAAAAGTCCTTACTCACGCAGTGTCTTTCCTCTATACTATGTATTTATGTTATGTTTTAGGGTGTTTTAAATTTTCATGTCTATTTTTATTCACATGGTGTTTTCCCCACATGTATGTATGAACACCACATTTATGCCCGGTGCCCTTAGAGATCAGAAAAGGGCATTGGAACCCAGAGAACTGAAGTTACCAATGGCGTACAATCCCTAAGCTATGGGAATCCGGGTGCTGGGTGGCAGGTGCAGCACTCGCTGAGAATGTTTGAAGCGTTTTACAATTTGCTTGTCCTCTGTGTCCCTTGCTTCCTTTACGCATCCTTCCTGTTTTTGTCTCTCTTCTCTCTCATACAGATCCAGAGTTGGGTGTGGGCACGCTATCTGAACACGACAACCAAGATGCAGGGCCGATTGTCCCCAAGATCTCGGGTCTAGAGAGAAGTCAGGAGAAGAGCCAGGACTGTTGCAAAGAGCCCGTCTTTGAACCCGTGGTGCTCAAAGACCCACATCCTCAGCTCCCCCAGCTACCATCCCAGCCCCAGGCGGAGCCCCAGCTCCAAGTGCCCTCTCCAGACCCAGACTTGGTCCAGCGCACGGAGGCTCCATCCCAGTTTCCTCCTCCAAGTACACAGCCAGCCCAAGGACCCCCAGAAGCCCAGCTGCAGCCTGCCCCGCTGCCCCAGGTGCAGCGGCCACCCCGGCCGCAGTCCCCCAGCCACCTGCTCCAGCAGCCCCTTCCGCCTGTGCAGCCACATCCCTCTTCCCAGAGCCTCTCGCAGCAGCCACTGTCTGCTTACAACAGCAGCAGCCTGAGCCTCAACAGCTTAAGGTGAGTGACCCTGATCTTCCACACAGCGGGAGTCACTGAGCAGGAGCTCCCACAGACTAGTGTTGTCTTTTTGCCATTTGTCTGGCTTCTTAATTGGTGAGATTGAAAGACAGGGAAAGAAACTGTTGAGAGATCTTGGGTTGAGTGTTGAGGACATTGGTGGTGGGCGGGGTTGGAATAAAATTCCTGCAGGGACTTGAGGTAATACAAAAAGGAGGGAAAGGTAAGAAGGAAGGCAGGGAGGGAGGGAGGGAGGGAAGGAAGGAAGGAAGGAAGGAAGGAAGGAAGGAAGGAAGGAAGGAAGGAAGGAAGGAAGGAAGGAAAGTTGGAGGAGCCAGGCATGATGGCATATGATACCTTTAGTCCCAGCACTCAGGAGGCAGAGGCAGATTAATCTCTGAGTTCAGGGCCAGCCTGGTCTACACAGTGAGTTTCAGGACATCCAGGGCTACACAGAGAAATGCTTCCTTAATACAAACAAACAACAATAACACCACCACCACCCCCAAAAAAAATCCCGAAGTTGGAGGATGTACCAGAGCACCTGGGTGGAGGGCAGACAGGTAGGACAGGCATGTTGAAGCACACCTGAAGATTTTCCATGGGGAGAGTCTGAGACAGGAGGCTCTGTGCCTCTGGTGAGAGCCTTTTAGAAAGTCATGCTGGACTTCCAAAGGAAAAATATAAACAGCAACCCAAGCACAAATCTTTTGATCTACAGTGATGTCCTGCCTGCAAGATATGTTAGGGCAATGGTAGCACAACACTTGTGGGATTATCCAACCAATATCTGATTTGACTTAAGACCCTCTCCATAAGATGGAACCCAAACTTGGCATTGCTTGGGTGACCAAGAACCAGAGACTGGATAGCCCATGGACCTAGGGTAAAACCAAACAATACTGTTCTAAATAAATAAACTAACAATAAAAAAAAAAAGAAAAAGAAAAGAAAAGAAAAGAAAGCTGTGCTGGTATTTCCAGAGGCCCAGGACCCTAAGATTTTGAGCTTCTTTTGTTAGGAGGCTCTTTCTCCACTTCGGGTCACTCAGCTCTGTTGAAAGTAAGAGAGAATCCCTGCATGGAGAGCCAAGCTCTGTTTTGACTTTCTCAGGCCCTACAAGGGAAAGTTGACAGAGTTGCTCAAATGATGTCTGCCAAGAAGAAGGTCTAGATCCACCACTGTCCCCAGACCCCATCTTTGTTACTGAATTCCTTTTGGAAGGCAGATGACTTCAAGGGTTTCGGGATGCATTTGTTTCCTGAGTACCTTCCCCACAGGGTCAGGTCTGTCTCATGATCCTCTGACTCAGAAGAGTGGTATGTTAAAGAGTGGTATGTTAGCTGCTTCTCTTGTTGCTTTGACAAAATACCTGACAGAGATAATTTAAAGAAGGAAGGGATTATTTTGGCTTGCATTCTGTGGGTACACAGTCTATCATGGAAGGGAAGGCATGATGGTAGGAACACGAGGTAGCTGGTATCCACAGTCAGGAAGCAGAGAGAGGAATGCTGGTCCTCAGCTCTCCACCCCCTCCCCCGCTTCAGTCCAGAACCGTATTCCCTGAGATGGTGCTGCCTATGTCCAGGGTGGTTCTTCCCACGCAGTGTGGATGCACTCTCCCCTATATGCCCAGGCTCATCTCACAGGGGATGCAGCCCTACCGTACCTGACGCCTCACTTGTGCTGCCTTCTCACCCAAGGTGACAGTGGCAAGCCAGCAGTGCTTACAAAAGAATTTTATTCCATTTTCTTAACTCAGCTGCTAGTGTGGCTACTGGAAGGTGGGAAGGCTGGGCCCCTGCTAGCGTGGAGGGGTCCTGAGGTTGAGTCAAGAGGAGCCACCTGAACAGGGTGTGAGGGTGCATCTGGAAATGGAACAGTAGCTCCTAGATGCTTCTTTGTATAGTAGCCAGGGTAGTGCACAGCTGTCTATGGTTCCCAAGGCTGCTGGATGCCAGGGAACATTGATGAAGAGGAAGGGGGTAAGGCAGGCATGTTTAATGGCTTATAGGCATGGAGATGGGATTCTGAAAAATACACACACACACACACACACACACACA